AGGAGACTCGCTTGAGCCCAGGAGTTGGAGGTTGCTGTAACCTGTGATGCCATGGCACTCTACCCAAGGCGACAGCTTGAGCCTCTGTCTCAAAAAAAAGAAAAACAAAAAAAACAACCCTGTTGAAAAGAATAAGAAAATTTGAGGATATTTTTAAGATATTTAAATATCTTAAATACCCTTGAACAGAATCAACAGATTCTGACAGAAAATAAAAAATTTAAATGGTCTAGTGGTGATATAAGTTCTAGGGAAGAGAGATTCTGTAGTCTGAGTAGTCCATGAAGGGTAAAACGTCCAAATAAGGAACACCTTCCTTAAAACTACACTAGATTTCTAAGGAAGAAGCTAATGCTACCTTACATTTAGCAAACACCTAGTGTGCTAATACCTGAAACCATTCAAATCCTAAAAATAGAACTGCCAGTGATAAAATGACCAGCCTGGGTGCCATGGCCTCTTGCTCACCATGCTTCCCGTAGTCTTCCAGGTCTGCAGCCTGGAGGTCCACACTGTGGATTTTGCACAGGACTCTGTTCATGGCAGTGTATATGGCTCGCCTTCGGCTGGGCTCCAAGCCTGGTAGGGAGGGGTCTTTGTAGATGACACCTGGGCAGTACTCCATCAAATAGAAGGGGGTGCCAATGACACTGGGAGGGACAAAACAGACAGGGTGTTTAGGGACTCAACTCCTAATGTGGAGGGCTGTGAGTCATGCATGGCCCTAACCTCCTAGGTTAGAGGAAGTTGGTACAGACTTCAGACCTGGAGTACAGAACACTTCTTTTTTTCCTTTGCACATAAGCACAGGGTCTAGAATGCCCCCTCTCCCAGTCGGTCCACACGCACACACACCACTGTACTTCTGTGCCATTATGTTTCTCCCTTCTCTTTGATCCTTTTGTAGAAGCCATCAGAATTGGTTGAAGTGTAATAATGTAGAGAGTGACAAGCTTTGGAATCATACAGAACCAGGTTTAAATCCTACCTCTGCCCTTTACTAGCAGTGTGATCCTGAGAGACTTATCAGACCTCCCTGAGATTTGGGGTATTTTTCTGTTTTTCTTTTTCTTTTTTTTTTTATTTCTTATAGCATAACTGTGTACATTAATGCAATCATGGGGTACAGTGTGCTGTTTTCATATACATTTTAAAATATTCTCATCAAACTGGTTAACATAACCTTCATGTCTTAGTTACTGAGTTAAAATGTTCATACTCTGCTTTTAGAAAGATTCACTTGTACCCTTGTAAGATTCTGTTTTTATTTTTCCAGGACCATTTTCTTTACGTTGTTATTGTTGTTTTTAATCTAGAAAACACACCTACTTCAAAGGGTGATTGTAAGAATTAAGGGAGCAAATATATATAGGTCTGGCATGGTGTCTGGTTCCAAGATGGTTCAATAAATAGCACTCTTTTTCTTTTTTTTTTTTTTTTTGAGACAGAGTCTCAAGCTGTCACTCTAAGTAGAGTACCATGGCATCGTAGTTCACAGTAATCTCGAACTCAGGCTCAAGCAATCCTCTTACCTCAGTTTTTCTATTTTTAGTAGAGACGGGGATCTTGCTTTTGCTTAAGCCTTGTTGTTGTTGTTGCTGTTTTGTTGCTGGTCTTGAACTTGTGAGTTCAAGCTATCTATTTGCCTTGGCCTTCCAGAGTGCTAGGATTATAGGCATGAATCACAAGGCTCGTCCTTTTTTTTTTTTTCTTTTTCTTTTTTTGAAACAGAGTCTCACTCTGTTACCCTAGTCAGGGGTCCTCAAACTTTTTAAATAGGGGGCCAGTTCACTGTCCCTCAGACTGTTAGAGGCCCAGACTATAGTTTAAAAGGACAGGCAGCAGTGGCAAAAACACCGGCGGGCCATAGTTTGAGGACGCCTGCAGGTAAAGTGGTGTGGCATCATACCTCACAAAAATCTCAAATTCTTGGGCTTAAGCAATCTTCTTGCCTCAGACTTCCAAGTAGCTGGAGCTACAGGTACCTATCACCATGCCCAGCTAGTTTTTCTATTTTTAGTAAAGACAGAGTCTCAGTCTTGCTCAGGCTTGTCCTGAGCTCAAGCAATACACCCACCTCAGTCTCTCAAAGTGCTAGGATTTATAGGCATGAACTACCACACACTGCAATAAACAGTCCTCTTGTTACTAACGTTATTTTTATCATTTTTTGGTATTATGAATTATATAACATATGTTACCTGGTAGTATTAAAGTAACCCACTAACTCACTTCTAGCAGTCAGTTTACTACTCTAAAAAACTGTTTTGAAAATTCAACCATTATAAATATTTGTCCTGAGTTGAAAAACTTATAAAAGACATTTCTTGGGATAACTGGAAAACTTTGAAGATGATCTAATATTAAATAATAATATTAAATTATTGTTAATTATCTTAAGTA